GGTTATGTTATCGGGCATCCTTCTAATTCTCTTGAACAACCAAGATTGAACTTTTGAACTCTTTGTAATTTCTATTATCTAGTCCAGTTAAAGTCCAGGGGAGGAAGCCCCATCATAGTAAAGAGGATACTAATGTGATGTGTGTAGTTCTTCATAGCCTCTTCATTTTGCTCTCAAAGTGCACGGAATTGATGGATTTTTAACAGAATGTAGAAAAAATTTCTCCCGGGGGGGCATACCCCCGGACCCCCATAAAGGGGCTGTATTCCCCTTGGGGCTAAGCCCCCCTTGTTCTTGAAACCTAGTGACGCCCCTGACCCATAATATGAATGAAAGAAGCCGGTATTTTTCAAGGCACCATCAATAGTCCATATTTTCTCTTTTAGCAAAAGTAGGCTAAATTTACTTCAAAGACAAACAAATAATAACAATTTTCGATCATTCACTCAACTAAGATATTTTTAAAACATAATTGGATTGAAATACACTAAAATAAAGTGCAAAAATTTATTCACTATAAACAACGCTTTCTTCAAGGAGAAGTAACATGCAGTTAAAGCAAATATTCTACTTTTATTTTTAAACTTGAACTGAATAAAAACTCTGAATATGTGTATGCACAGTAATCCTGTATTCAATTCTTTGAGGTTGAGGTTGATACTGGTGGTGTGTCATCTTTTCTACAAGTTCATCAATATTTGGGGTCAGGCTCTGAGCTGAGCAAATCCTCAAAATTGAGTGAAGGTGTTCAGCATTAAATCAACTTCTGTGTGATGTTTTGTTCAGCTTCATCAACAAAAATAGTTGTTCACACAGGTATGTGCTGCCAAACATCGAAAACGTTTCAGCATCCTGGGTGCGCAGCTGGGCCATTGTGTCGGGGAGGACACGGGCAAACTGCGCAGCACCCACTGCCGTATCTTTTTCATGCACTATAGTTGTGTCATGCATAGGATGTAAAGCCAAAAACTCCTCTGTCACGCTTAGGCTGGAGTCCACTCCGCGGATGAAAATTGACAACTGGGCAACGTCAGAAACTTCAGCGTTCTCATCCACAGCCAAGGAATATGCGATGACATCTTTTCCGTTTTTCACAAGCTGCTCTTTTTGATAAATGGACAACTGCTCTACTCGATAGTCAATGGTGTTTCTGCTCATGCACACGTTTAAAAAGAGTTGCTTTTTTTCGGGGCAAACTTCGTCACAAACTTTAAGCATACAGTTTTTAATGAAACACCCCTCCGTAAATGGCCGGACTGATTTAGCGATCTCTTCTGCCGCAATAAATCATGCACACGTTTAAAAAGAGTTGCTTTTTTTCGGGGCAAACTTCGTCACAAACTTTAAGCATACAGTTTTTAATGAAACACCCCTCCGTAAATGGCCGGACTGATTTAGCGATCTCTTCTGCCGCAATAAATCTGGCCGTGACAGCAGCCTGGCTTTGTGATTTGGCTTTTTTGAACAGAGCCTGTTGAGATTTGAGGCTTCATTTTAATTCCTCAACCCTCTGGAGCCTTTGTTCCATGTCCATATTCTTGTTTTTGTTTGCGTGTTTCGTTTCATGATGTCATCTCAGATTACACTCTTTCAATACCGCCACACTTTCTCCGCACAAAAGACACACAGGTTTTCCAGCTACGTCCATGAACATGTTCTTCGACTCTCACCTTGTTTGAAACCCCCGGTTCTCAGTGTCCA